CACTTATAGCTTAATTGTTCTGGTCTGCTACGAGATGTTGTAACATCTGCCTTAACATCGTGTTCTGTTGTTGGGATGTAGGTTGCTGCCTGTACCAAAATTATAATTGGTATCAGAGCAGACACCCTGGTCTATTGGGTGAGTTTTAAGGGAGATATCTTCATAATACTATTTTCCTTTTGTGAAAGCAGAGTGATACCTTTCTGGTGATCAATGAACTGTAGGATTATGAAGTTTATTAGGTTGGAAGAATCTTGACAAATTGCGCTTGAATTTTCTTATTTAAAAATTTTAAATGATTTCTTAATTAAAAATTGGTTTTGTGGCCCACAATGTCCTAGGAAATTAGATTAATTATGGTTAAGTGCATGCACATACACTGACATGAAGATTTAGTGAAAGTGGTTATGATGGCTATGACGTAATAAAACTACCTTGAACAATATCAAGAAGTTACTAAAAACACCACCTTTTTCCATCTTGTTCAGACGATCGAAAATGTCATTTTTGGGGCATCTATTAGCCTGTAATTTTCAAAAGTGCACTTGAACCCACTAAACCTGGTTTGGAATATTCTCAAGAACAAATCTACAAGATTATGATTTCTCTCTCTTCAAAACATGTGCAGAATCTCAAACGTTTTTGCAAAAATCATCACTTCGACATGGATATATGGTGTAGAAGTGTAAATTTGGAGTAGAAGTGTAGAGTTCGACATTCCTATCAGATGTTAGGGACTTCGTGTGTTTTTTCCAAGAGGTCATCCAAACTAGGGATGCTTTGATAACACTATAGGATTCAACAGGAGATTCTCAACAAGGGCTGTTAAGATATTTAAAGACAGATATTAGTGTGAAGAGTGGTTTGAAATAGCAAAATCAATTCAAAATAGTTCAAATATCAAAGACACATGGAAGCAGACTAGAAGTCTGAAGCCCACATAATGGAGTATGTGTCAATTTCTCTGAAGATAACTTTCGATGATAGTTAACTTACTAATAGTATATGAGATGAGTTCAGTCATGTAAACAGAGGTCATAATTTTCAGTTATTCTCTATAGAACTAAAGTATCCAATTCATAGAGAGAAACAATTTGTGAGAAGATAAATGAACAAGCGTCCTTTCGTTACACATTTTGAATTCAAGCTTTACTTAATGAAATTTATTATGCTTTCTATTTATTTTTTTCTTCCAAAACAATTATGTCTTATTTCGATCATAATTCTTATCCAAACTCTTGATATTCAAACAATCAAGTTCCAAGAACAAACACTTTTTCATTATACTATTCTACATAAATTGTCCTTAGGATTTTTTAAAGTTTAATCCATTAAGTAAACTAAAGCTTGTGATTTGATTTCTGAAAATACTAGTAAACAATTGCTCTGAGTTATTTCAAGATCAACTTCACATTTCAATTTTTATTTTATTGGGTTATCCAAGAATTTTCTATCAACAACAATCACATGTGTTATATCTTCTCATATGTATACCATTGCATACATTAAGCTTTCAACACTGTTATACCCCAATTTTTTCCACTAACATCCCTCATCACTTCATATCATCAAAATGCATCAAGACCACACATTAAGGTTGGTTATGTCTTCTACTCTCTCTTATCTTTAAGTTTGTCCTTGAGGGATCACCAAACACCTTGAATTGTATATCTTATATATGTGTTTTATGTTTATTAACCTTTAACCAAAACTGGAAAAAAAACTATATTTCCTCTCTATGCTTTTTACATTGTAGGTATTGAGCCAAGTACATATATCCCACCTTCTAAGCTAGGGTTTTGAAGGATGATCTTCATTCAATTGGCTATTTAGTGGATTTTAAAGGATTGAACTTCAAGGCTATGGTTGTGGCATCAAAGTTCTTTGGTTTGAGGACTTTCTCAATTTCATTTGGTCAATATCGTATCAAATTTGGTTGTTGAATTCATCAAGGAACTTCATAGGTTCATGTGTTTATTTTCATGCCTCCTTTAACAATTTTCATCAATCATTAAGCCTTTTCATTAAGTTTGCTTCAATATAACATTATTTAAATGTCTAATGTGATTTATAATGCCTTAATTTTCAAGAAAAGTTCAAAAGATTCAAAGTTGATCCATGTGGTTTGACCTAATTTGGAAAGTCCTCGATTTTATGGTCACAAATGCATAATTCTCTTGATTTTAAATAATTTGAAGTTGTTCTTTTTAACATGGACTCTTCTCATCATTTACAACAACTCCCTTTACATGAAAAGGTCCATTTGTGCAAGGAAAATCATCAAAAGTTGAAGAATGTTACAAGTCACTTTTGTAGTTTTTGAGCGAGGGTTTTTCAACTACCAAAGACCATATCTTGTTTAATTTTGAGATTTTGAAGTTATTACAAAGCCATGATTCTCTTCAAAGAGTCCTTAAAAACATATCTTTAAAGATCTAAGGCCAATTTTGAGTGTAAGATCATTTGTGTTTGAAGAAGATTACAAGTCCTTTGAAAAAACCATTGAACTCTTTGATTTGACTTCAAAAGATCATAACTTGGTCAATTTCTATCTCCTTGAACTCATTCTTTTTTCACAATGAACTTGAGTATGTCTACTACAACTTTGATTCAAATATGAAGATCTGAAAATGTGTGGAAAGTTATGGAATTCAATGAAACTTTATAGGTCATTTGTGGATTTCTCATGAAATTTTCATCCTCTTCGAAGAACCAAAACTCTCTCATTATTTATGATTTTTGAGTAATTCTAATTCCATTATTCCATTCAAGTAGTCTACTGCGTTTCATCTTCAAGGATCAACATCTAATTTTGAGTGGAAGGCTTGTATGTTTGGAGAACATTATAGGTCATCATGAAGCTCTACACTTAGAAATTATTTCTAAGTGTCAAAATCAGTTTGTTTTCCATGATTTCAAATGGACACAACTTTCATCTCAAATGTCCAATTGAATACTTTCTGGGCACATTGTTAAGGTTGTGATGACGTCTTTCAAATGCAACTAGAATGACACCTTAACACATCTTGAGTAAGTTGCACCATGGAGTTGAAGATAGCAAATTGAAACTGAGTTTTCATTTTCAGTCAGACTGCAAATTGGTTAATGTGGCTTCTAATCACAAAATTGACGCGCATTTTTTATCTAAACTTGTATAACAAACTTGTTTAGACTTATTTAAGCTTTGAAACACATCATTTGGATGAGTTTTAAGGAATTTCACATCACACTTTCCATGCTTGCAAATTTACACGAATTCCATATATTTATCATTATTTCGCACATATGATCTCACCATTCATTCTCCTATAAATAGAGGATCATTCATCGTTCATTAACTAAGCTTTTGATAGCTAGTAAAGCCTGCCAAGATCCCATAAGAACTCCCTAGCTTGAATTTCATTTTCTTATTTCCAAACCTTCTTTCTCCAAATTCTCCATAAATTCTTCACTCTTGATCATCACACAAACTCTTCACAACAAAAACCAAGCAATTCGAGCATAGAATCAAGTTACAGAAGTCCAGTTTCAAAACTTACAAGTTGAACTTCATTCAGGTAGGTTTCTTAACCCAATCATCTCAAATAAATGCTTAGGATGTAGTCCCCTCTTCTCTAAAGCTTAGGCATCTTCTGGTTTGAATTTTTGTGGTGATTTGATACTTGATTTTCAAATTTAATTACACCTATCGTGATTTTATTGGGATTTTATATTTTAATTTTCTATTTTTCATCTATTTTTGTTTCTTTAAAGGTGTTTGTGTATTCTCTAAAATTAGTTTCTAACTTTTAAAAAAGTTGAAAAAATTTGTAAATATACTTTGAGGTATTTTTGATATTTCTATGCCGCTAGATATCATTTATTTGAATATTTGAATGCAGTTTGATATTTTTACTTTTATTCTAAATTTAAAACCTTTTTCATATTTATTTTTTTTACATTTAATTACAATTTTATTTTTGTATATGTTATGGCTGATCTTGGATCATATGTGTCAACCCCGAATATGCTCGCCCTTTTATTTCTAAAAATATAACATTATTTGATTTTTATAAATATTCGCTTCCAAACTTATTTAAAAATATAATGATCAATATCAGATCATTTATATTTTTGAATAAATAAATATTTGCTCGTATTCATGTACTCTTAATTGGCTTTTTACTTTCAAATAAGTAACAGAACACAGTTGATAAGGGAGAAATACTTGCAAACAAAAGTTAATGGGTTCGAATCTCATTTGGTGCACTTTGGATAATTTTGCTTCTTAATCTTGCTGGCCAACATGAGAATTTGGGCTTTGGATATTGGATAATTTCATTTTTGGGGTTTTAACCTAATTTTTTTAATTAATAAATAGGACTCCACATTGTCCTAATTTGAAAAAAGAAAGAAAAGGGAATCATTCACAAACACACAAAATTCTAGTGTTGTTGACTATATCAGACAATAGCCCAAGAACAAATTCTCACAATTACACTTCTATCAACAACTTTTTCAGTTTCTCTTCACACACATTCTTTTCAATTTTTCTCTTCAGAAAACTTTTGGTGTTACAAAAAAACTTTTGGTGTTATTGTTTATTATTGGTCGATGATTAAATTGAGGCCACCCTGATATTTTCAATTCCTTTTTAATTTTAATTTGTTGTTGTTTCAACCAAATGATGATTATTGATGATTGCCTTTCTTTTAAAATTATATTTTTATACTAACAATTTTTCTAAATCCAGGAGGATGCCAATTTTTGCACACTGATTCATAATTTTCTACACTGACACAATACACAACAATTAATGGTACATATTACACCACATACAAAACTAACAATTTCTCCCAAGACCAATTTCCATTCATATCCTCTACACAATATCTCACACTCAGTACACCAATACCGTTTACTCATCAAATTACTCACTTGTTCAGGTCACTACACATATAAATCACCATTTTCAAATCTGCACGAACAATTAATAACAACAACAACAGAAAGATTTTGGATCAAAACACAACAATTTCAAATCTGGTAGAAAAGAAAAGAATGATTTTCAATAACAACAATATTCTGTTTTGTTTCTTTTTTTTCTCATTGCAGGGCAACAACCAATAAATAGAAATCACAAAATTCGTAACAAAAAGAGGAAGAAAAATTATCATAAAAGACTCGGTTCCAACGAGATCCATCCGGGCTGCAGAATTGCCACGCATCTGTGATTGCCCAGACTCCGACCGCGCCACCCGCACCAGCCTCCTATCGCTCTACCACATGTAACACCACCTATGTGAAATCTGAAACTATAGTCAACATAAATTTCTCTGTCGTGACTCCGATGGTTGTTGTTGAATGAAGAGATCATGTGATTTAAGAAGCTTTGTTGTTGTTTTTACCACCACCAAGTGGAGATTGTTTGAAATTTCTTTAACGCAGAAAATGATGGCTTCGGTTTGAATAAAAAGAATAAGCTTTGTGACTTGTTTCCCTATTAACTCCTACGGTACCTATCTTTCCTTTTTCTTTTCATGACTTTTATTTTAATTAATAGTTTATTCTGGTAATAGCATTTGAGTATTCTATCTTTCTTTACTTTTTAATATATTTGATATTTCTATTATGCCCATTTAGATTAGTTTTGTTTTTAGTCTTCATTCGTTTTGGTCATAGTTTAATATTTAAGGATTTTTGGTTTAGGCTTTTTTCTTTTAAAAATTGTAATTATGGTGTCATGAATCTTAATCCTTATGCATTCAAGTCATGTGAACTTTTTTTTGTGTTGATTTTTGAATCATACTTTATTTTGCATTTTAATTAACTTATGTTTTTGTAGAATTAGGATTAATATTGCATTGTGGGTTAGGTTCTATGTTTCTATACTGCAAACTCTAGCCTCAAATTCCATTTACATCCCTTTGAATTCTAATTTTGTATTTAGTCTCCTTAGTTTATTTAATTTAATTTATGTAGTTTATTTAATTAATTTGTTTTGTCTTATTTAAGAAAAGTTAAATATACAAATATCCAAAAATATACATCTTATCTAATTTGTACATACTCTAGGATACCCTTCAATTATTTGACTTGGTTTTTTAAATTAGTTTAATTTATTTAATAATGTTAATTAATTTAATTATATTAGGCTTATTTAATCAAAGATATAAATAGTTTTAAACTTATACATTACTACTGACTTTTTTTGTCAAATTAATTCAATATTTTAAAAAGATATTAAAAACTCACGCAATTCCAAATATTTCACCCGCAAGCGACATGTGGCCAATATCTGGCCACGTGGTGAGAAAGACTATATCAGAGTTCCTTTGCATCCTTCATGACGAGCAACACATGGACAATATCTGGCCAAGTGAGGAGGAAACTATATCAGATTCTCCCGCTCCACGTCTTAATCAAATCAAATACCAAAATAGCTAACCAACGATCAAACATTTTTCAAATAACATAATCAAAATCTAAGATTATTCTTCAAAAAAAAATATTAAATAGCATCGTCTTTGAAATAAACTACAAACTGCGTCTGCAATCACTCAACTTACAACCCAGACAAGGTTCAAGGTTAATTCGAAAGCAATTATACGCGATCTTATAAAAAACACCATCAAAACCGTGAACTATGAAATAGGACTCTGGTTCCTCCTAAGAGGATCCTTAGGCATACGATTAAAATCATGGCGAGTTCCCCTATTAAAAATTAAAATACTTTTTTCCCCTAATTAATATTAAAACCCTTTTCCTAAAAATGTGCTTCTAACCCTAGTATCCTTGTGAACAAGGTAGATGAGGGGTGCTTAACACCTTCCCTTCGTCTAAAACTGAGTCAACAATCTAGAATCTCTGTAACTTTTAGGGTTATTCCTTTATATTCCTTTCCTTAGGATAAAAATTAAGGGTGGGGACTCTGATTAAAAAACCAGTTGTAACAGCTGGCGACTCTGCTTGAGACTTCAACCCTATGTTTAGAAGTCTTTCTCTTAGGTTTTAGGGTTTTTTATTTTATTGTTATATTTACTGTGTGGCAGGATTTTAGTTTCAAAAATAATTATTTTAAAAAACTCTTAGAAAGAAGGTTCGTCTATTAGCCAAGGGGATACATCATCCCTATGAGTTTATGTGACGATTTCGCCTAGAGTCGGTGGAATTCTGCGAAAGGAATACTTATGAAGAAATATCCTCTTGGAAAGTAGGACTTTGGAATGACACTTATGACTCTTTGTACAATCCTAAATAAAAAATTCATCAGGAGACCTTTCACGACCTAGAGACATAAGTTTTGGTCTGCAAAGAAGCTTCACTTAAGGGAGACCCTTGTGCCTTTACCTCTAGTGTTATTAATGAAACCTTTAAGGAAACAACCTTATGGGGAGGGTAGACTAACCGTAGGCCAAAACTAGGAGCCTACCTTCTAAGGATACCATTCATATAATCCCATTTCCACTATCCCTAAACCCGCAAGGGTAAATTCCGGTATACTACAATCCCTAGCTTGTAGGGTTCATCTTTCATGAGTCATAACCCATAGCCTATAAGGATTCCTCAACCTCCCATTAGTTTATTACAATTTCTATATTGTAGGAATTCCCGTCCCTCAGTTATAATCCCTAGCTTGTAATGATTTCTCTTGGTCTTCTATGGTCCTTAATCCTTAAGGAATTCCTACCTGTCTCAATCTTTGAGTTAGTGTAGTGTATCTTCAAATCCATATCTATTATTATCTTCATCTTTAAGGAATTCCTACTTGTCTCAATCTTTGAGTCAGTGTAGGGTATCTTCAAATCCATATCTATTATTATCTTCGTCCTTAAGGAATTCCTACCTGTCTCAATCTATGAGTCAGTGTAGGGTATCTTCAAATCCATATCTATTATTATCTTCGTCCTAAAGGAATTCCTACTTGTCTCAATCTCTGAGTGAATATAGGGTATCTTCAAATCCATATATATTATTACCTTCGTCCTTAAGGAATTCCTACTTGCCTCAATCTCTGAGTCAATGTAGGGTATCTTAAAATCCATATCTATTATTATCTTCGTCCTTAAGGAATTCCTACCTGTCTCAATCTCTGAGTCAGTGTAGGGTATCTTCAATTCCATATTTATTATTATCTTCGTCCTTAAGGAATTCCTACCTATCTCAATCTCTGAGTTAGTGTAGGATATCATCAAATCCATATTTATTATCTTTCTCCTTAAGAAATTCCTATATGTCTCAATCTCTGAGTCAATGTAGGGTGCCCGCGTTTTCATCATTATCTTCGTCCTTAAGGAGTTCTTGCCTGTCTCAATCTCTGAGATAATGTAGGATATTATCATTTTCATGTCAACCATTAAACGTGTATAGGGTACCCCTACATCTACCCTCATACTACGTCTGCATCGCATTGCATATCCATGAAACTTTATTTCATACCCAAAAGCCAAAAAATATTTTTGCATACCCATGCATTTACATACTCCCATACATTTACATGTCATGCATTTCCACCTTCACCATTATACATATACTAGTTGTTTTCTTGGTACTTGCAAACGAACTCAAGAAAGTCTGAAATTGTGGAAAAAGAAGATTATCTATTGGAGAATCAATGGAGCTTGATTCTACAAATGTTATTGGAGAGAGAAGGCAACTCTTCACCATGAAAAATCCAGGCCTACACAACGCTCAAATTCCTCTACCATTGGTGATTCCTCTACATCAAGAGAAATCTCCCTATCAACAGAATTAGTATGCCCAAAGAGAAGTCAAGGGTCACCCCCATGCCTTGACAAGTTCAAAAACTACGAAGAATCCCTTAAAGATAGTGGATCAACAAAAAATGTCATCTTAAAGATCATCAGACTTTATCAAATTGAATTTGTAAAGTCCAAGTTGCTAGGTTGTATTTGTTGTAAACTTGTATCTTTGGATTAGTAATTCTAAAAAAAATGAGAATGCATGATTTGAAATTGATCCATTCGTATTCACTCTTCTATCGCTTTCCATAAATATCAATTATTCACTTCCATCTTCCATTTTAACTTTAACAAACTAGGGAGAATAACGAAAATACAAAATAATCAAATTTTGTCAACGTATGCCTTTTAATAGTAAGGCTTCAATGATGATGTAAGGCATTGTTTCACTTCCCAAATAATGGAGATATAAGGAGATAATCCATAGTAAACCCCTTTGAGCCAGGAGTTGGAGTTTTCTTCTAAAATATTAAAAAAAAACCTTAATTTCAACCAGGGGCAGAGTAGTCTTTCAATTAATTCAATGATGCATTCAAATCTCAGGAAAATAAAGTCCATCTAAGGGAAGGTTCAAGAATATCTTCTTCCTTGATACATCATTGAGGAAATGATCTAATAAAAGGTTCAAGAACATCATCTTCCTCATGCACATCAATAAAGATGGAGGAAGCAATCAATAAAGACGAAGTTCACGATGTCTAATTCCTCAATACATCATTCAAGATCGAGGAAAGAATAAAGACAAAGCTTACAACAACCAACACGACAATCACAAAATTTCAAAATCAAAAGCAGAAAAAAAAATTCAAAAGGAAAAATAAAGCCCAATAAGTCAAGTAAAATTCGAAAAAAAACTTGATTTAGGCAAAAGTTAGGGCGTCCCGATTGGCTGAAAAATTCAAAAAAAAAACCGGTCAATGCAAAAATTAGAGATTGAAAACAAAATTGGAGAACAATCTTGTGACTTCCACCTCAAAAGTTTCTCATCAACGATTGGATCTTATCAATGCTTGGATCTTATCAATGCTTCTCATCGATGCTTGAATCTTATCAATGCTTCTCATCATCTGTGCGACTATGAAACTTCTCTTGGGGATTAAATGCATATGTAGGATTAATTGAACTTATGATTGAAGAAAATCAAGAAGAATGGCGTGGGATAATTAAATTTTGAGCCTTATATCTTTTATTTCTTAAACTACGAACCATGGCCACGTTACAGCATTCAAAAGTCCTAATTGAAGCAAGGTTAACTATGAAAGCATACTCGGCGAAATTCATGTTAAACTGACTCCTATGTTTGTTAAAATTATTTCTAACTACTTCTTTTCTTCGAATCTTCATCTCTAATAATCAATTTCTATTCAAACTTTGATTTCAAAACATGCATGTACATCAAACATAATTAATTTTAAAAACGTACCATTTTATTTACAAATCAATACGTGTCATCAAGGAGATTTCAAAAAAAAATGGTTTGATCAAAGGCAACATTTCCAAGAAGCTTCTAACTAGGAGAAAAGCATCTAAGAGGACTCCTATAAACAGGGGAGAATAATAATGATCATAGAGGTATATCGCATGAAGTTGTTATTGACATGGGGTGATCATTCCAAAATTCAATCAACTCGGATCAAATTTCAAAATGTTGTTCAATCAGGGGCATACCTTTTGAAGGAGCATTCCTTAATCAAGTCATATCACAAGAGGGTCTGACTCGATTTCCTCTTTTTAACCAACCTCTCAAGGCCTTGATTTAGGGGAAACTTTCTAAGATTCAAATGTTGGGGAAGTACGTAGCAAGTTCACCCTACTGCACATAGGGTCTAAATCCCCTTTCAAGAAACTTCAAGTACAAGCATTTCAAAGATTAAAATCTTGGGGAAATCTATATCAAAGTTCATGGTGAAGTCTAAGTTCTTCCTAAATGGTACTTCCTCCAAATTATGGAGATTGGGGGCATATCTTTCTAAATTTGAATATTGGGGCAAACCACTTTGAGGCTCATCAAAAAGAGTTGATTCAAAAACAATTCATCAAGGGAAAATCATCCAAGGGTACCTCCTCCAAATTCCGGAGATTGGGTGGCTTACCTTTCAAGAAGTGCAGATGTTAAGGCATATCGTTGCGAAGCTCATTTAGAAGAATTTGGTTCAAAAGAAATAGCCCATCAAAGGCAAACCATCCAGGATCCCATTAGTCAAGGGAATAATGTTTGGAAGTGAAAAATAGTGGAGACATTCATACTATGATCAAACTATTACCAAGTTAATATCAATGAGAATCTCCTCCAAGACCCTACCAAAAATTAGGGAAAGATAGTCCACATAGAGGGAGGCTCCCCGTGTATTTTCATAATCTCCAATGGATTGTTCTTCTACATCAACAATCATGCGAGTTCAAAGTGAGTATCAGGAAATCATGCAAGCACAACATTCAATCACCATGTGACAAGCAACCTTGTCACATAGTAAAACCTCTAGTCTTAATCAGACCCATCACAGGGGCATCATTCAACAAATAATGCGAGTCATAATCATAAAGCATAAGTCTGCATAAATCATTAGCATACATTCATTAGGATATTGCATTCCAAAAGCAACCTATACCCATTATCTCATCCGACTGACGAATTCCGACAGCATGGATCTAACAAAGAGCCAAATTCGCATTGGCACATTAAAATTCCAATATCCATTGGTACGTATCCAAATCGCCCATTACATGCATTGATCAGTCATTCTACGCGTTAACACATGCATCTGCATGCATGTATAACATATCATATCCCGAGACTAAGTACCCCATAAAAATATAGAGTCAATTTCTAAGAGAGTCATTATTACAATCTCTAACATCTCTCTGAATGAGTCTGTCGTACAAGGATTCTTCATCAAAATCGTAAGCATACTTACGTACAACTGTCCAAGACGTGAGCAACCTCGCACATTTTCTTATACGTGTTACATAAAAGACGTTAGCAGCCTCACGCAACCTCATCCACTATGCATTCATAGGCAACCATACGAGGCATGAGAAACCTCATGCATTCATCAGCCATCCGTACGTAGGCAGCCTTAGGTAAAAGTCGTGAGCATCCTCACACTTTCCAATTAATGTCTCTAGGTAACCTTTCCAATATTAGCAACCTTGATATCTATTTCACCTTTCCAAGCCAGCAAGCTTATACTAGTCCAAGAAGTTCTACTAATGTTGGTGCAAAGCCTAGTTCCCGTCTGACCCATCTTTTCAAAAATCCCAGCTCCCGTCTGGCACATCTTTTCAAAAGCACAACCCCTAATTGGCAGTGTAGCGATAGAAATGTTTAAGACTAAGCCATTGAATTGAATAGACTTATATAAATCAAAATAAAAATTGCCACCACGCTTTATTGTTTCCAAAGGAATGGGAAAAGAGAGAATAACGCAAAAGAGGGGGAAAGATTCAAGGTAATGGGGTCAGTTATGCAAACGGAAGATATTAACACCCTAAACATGTACGGTACTCCGTAGGAACCTCTTTGTAAAATCTGTGTATGTTGGCTATTAAAAAGAGTTATTTGCATGGATGAATCAATTTGAGAAAAAAGAAAGTTTTTTATTATTGCATTCACAAGGATCTTTAATCCAGTGCCTACGTATCCTAGGAGGAATCAGAACACTCATAGTTCTTCTTTAAAAAATTTTAAAACACAAGTGTGTTGGTTTAATTTTGAGAGACGAGACATCATCGCCATTGTCCATGTGGAAAACATACTTACTACCCATAATCATGAGAAAGGATAATTTGCATCATCTCAAAGTGGAGGATATGGCTTGGATTTTAAAATCAACAATGCCTCACCCGACACCCAAGTGGAAAATATCTCTCTTCACTATATATTGTAGAAGTATATTTGTTTGCATCACTATAAGTAAAAAGCCAAAGTGGCAAAATGGTTTTAATGAGATTAATTGACTTTTAGTCTTCTAAAAAAAAATGTCAAAGTATTATTAACTTGATTAAAGTTCAATTAAGAAAATATTTTTAAAAATGCATGTACATAAGTCCTAGTTTTTTGTCAAAGCGATTCAAGTTTAGAAACAAGAAGAGTTTTCAAAAGGAGGAAGAAGATTTTTGAAATTAAAGAAGATGTGAGGAGCTGAAGGGACTATCCTGATGTCATCATGCTTGTACCAACATCCTAAGGTCTAATCATCATAAAACGATAAAAGGGAGATTAATCGTCTCATGGAATCCTAAAGGAGCATGGCATTGATACAAAATAATTCTCAATACTCAAGCATCTTATTTAATCAATATCGCACAAAGAAAACACATAAAATATGATGTTAAACTTGATTTAAAAAGAGATCGAGAAAAATGAGGAAATAGTAAGAATAAAACCTAATTAAAACACTTCTAAATAAATCTAAAGTATTTTTTCATATATTTTTTCATATATTTTTTTAATTATGTTTATTATTATATTATTTTTAATACCTAAAATCAATAAAAGAAACTAAAACAATTAAAATGGGAAGGAAAAATATTAGGGAGGTGAGAATTAAGAAAAAAAGGTGTGGTCAAAAGAATGGCGCTAAGGCCCAATTAGAAAGATCCATGGAGCAATTTTTGTTTCAGCTCAAAAATAAACTTGTAACAAGCCTTCAGCCTACTAACAACGTAGCCTTCGGCCCAAATTCCTTTTCCCAAAATTCAGTAATTATTTATTTCAAAAATTCATTTAAAACAATTAACAATTTTAAAAAAATTAACGGCATCGTTTTAATGAGAAGAAGGTTAGGGTTGAGGAGTTGTCATTTGACCTCCTTCGAACACACTTCTTCTTCAAACTCAATCGGCGACGCGTCTTCTCCGGTGTGAATTGGCGATCCACCACTGTCTCAATCTCTTATCCATCGCGGCCTCGTCATCTTCTTCACAGCGCCACAACTCCTCCGCGGCTTCGTCATCTTCAATTCAAACTCAGTGTTTCCGTCAACATCTCAAATTTCATGCTCCCGCTGCTACAATGAACTCCGTTCATCATCTCAATTTGTTCGTCTTCTTTCGATGCTCATCTCTGATTCGCTCAACTTCCACCGTGAATTCGCATTTGATTCAACTTCAACATTGCAACCTCACTCTCGTCCCTCTCATTGAAGCATTGGAACTTCAATCGTCTGTCATACGCGCTCGACTTCTTTGGCTTTGGATTCACCGTTTTCTCCACGAATTCGTTCCTTTAGGCATCGTTGTATCAAGTCTGTTTCAAAACTAACACCCTAGGTTTAATCCTAATGAAGCTAATATTCAGACAACAATTCGATCCGAGAACACACAATGATATAGATTTCAAAGCGAGCAAGAAGAAGTATGAAAGAAATTGCTACTTACTGAACGGAGCAACTCTGGTGGTTCTTCTGCAAGGGCATAATCAGATAGGAAAGAGATTTTACGGTAATAACTCTTCTGCTATGAAATTGCTTTCCTCTGATACTTCCTTTTCTTCTTTTCTTCTTCTATGATTCCACTTCTACTTCTACACTTCTTTGCGTTTTGTTGCTGATCTTGACGCTATTTAGAAAGAGTTTAAAGGAACTTTATGAAATTTTACAGAGAAAAATGAGACAGCATCACATTTCAAAACTCTCAGAATCTTTTGCGAACAAATTGTTTTTGTTTCTTTGTGAAAATATTAGTGCAGTGATGAAACTGTTGCTTGTTGCAGATGAGTCTTGAGGAATCCGTGATGAAGATGGATCCGTTTCAGAGAGGGAGAATTTTTTTGAGATGAAGTTCATAGAGAAAAGAGCATAATGATTCTTTGAAGCCTCAAAGAGAAATTCTGAAGCTTCTCTGAGAAGATTTTGCAGAAGTGAAAATCCTCACCAAGATTGAAAAGAGAATCTCTTTTTAAGCTGGTGAACTTTGTTGTAGGTAAAAACATCTCAGCCCATTGATTTAAAATTATGTTGCAAGAATCAAGAGCTGAGATTGAAAGTTCTATTTTCTCTGAAATTCTATTTTGAAGCTTGTTATGGAAGCTTGATATATTCTAAGCTATTTTTTCTAATACATGCTTTCTCTGAAATTCCCGACTTATTTTCCTCTGCATTTTTCTGTGTGAAACGAGGAAACAAAAATATTTGCTCAGTTTTTCTCATTTGATAAAGCACAAGTCAGTTCAGGTTTGGATTAAAGCAGGTTCATGGAAGTTTTTTTTTGAACCGGTTTTTTGTTGTAAATGCAGGGAAATTTTTCAGTATGGATTTTATGCAGGAACTGGTTTTGATTTGCAAGAATGTCGTGTTCCGAGTAGAAATACATAGAGTTTGCTTGAAAAGGCCTTGATTGCTCAGAATTAACAAAGTTGATGCAAAAAAAATCTCGACATGATTTTTATTGGACAAATTTGACGCATTGTAAAACAAGGCTTTGTTTTTTGTATCTAACTAGTAACAAACCCGTGCTATCGCACGGGTCTCGTCTGGATTCACATTACATTTATATATTATTAAATTATTAAGTATGTTACCATGTTTTTAGTTGAGTATGTGTCTCATGTAAACCATGTTGACATTTAACTCCATATTTGTAGCAAGCGTCGGTCCTATCAACAAATCACGTCTGCATGAATAAATAGGAAAAATTATATACTTCTTGAAATACATGGAAAATGTACATACTATATATTTTAATTCAAAATAGATTTTTAATTTGAATAGTAAAGTATAAGATATAAAGTTTACCAACTATCAAAGTGCTTGAAAGACTTCCTTGTACACAACATTAGTAGTAGTAGAACACTGTACATTCTCCTTGTCATGAATTAGGATTTTTAGCCCACTTTTGCTCTTAACTCTTGAAATTGCAACATATAATTGACCATGATTAAACACAGAAGTAGGCAAATACAATCCAACACTATCAAGAGATTGACCTTGTGACTTATTAATTGTCATTGCATAGGAGACAATAATCGGAAATTGTCTCCTAATCAACTTGAATGACCAAGGTGAATCAGAAGGTGACATAGACATTCGTGGAATGTAAAAAATGTTACCTATGTTCTTTCCAGACATGATTTTTGCCTCAATGACATGATTTGCAAATCTTGTAACAATTAATCTTGTTCCGTTGCACAACCCATCGGCTTGGTCCAAATTTCTCATTAGCATAATAGGTGTACCAACCTTCAATTTGATCCTATGATTGGGAAGCCCTGACGTTCTTAATTTACTGAGAAATTCAGGAGTTAGAACTTCATATGCTTCACTATAACTTGAATCTGTTCTATCAATGGAATCAAAACTCAAATACTCTTTCTCTTCTCCTAAAAAAAAGTTTAAAAGCAAAACATAAATAAATTAGTAAAACTATGTTCTTAAATATATATATATATATATATATATATATATATATATATATATATATATATATATATATATATATATATATATATATATATATATATATATATATATATATATATATATATATATATATATATATATATATATATATATATATATATATATATATATATATATATATATATATATTATGAATGTAATAATACAGTAAATATAAAACACATGTACATGGTATCAAGTCTAATACATAATGATTGATTTTGTCCACAACTTCAATGTTGAAGCAAGAATAGTCTTTCCTTGTAAGAATTCAACATCTTGATATTTTTCCAACAAATTGGGATATGTGTTTTCAACAATTCCTCTTATAGGATCATCAAAATTTGATATTAATAGCTCTTGAGGAATTTCAATATCAACCAAACCATCATTGGGTTCACAAATCTTACCATCACCCACATTTAAAATCCATTTTGAAAATTCCGCTAGTTCATTAGAACTTGTGTTGTCTCTTCCCTCTTGAAGTCTCATATTTTTTGATAGTGTTAAAACCTGGCAATAATCTCATACATAAGATGAACTAATTGATGCATGAACAATATCAGAACGCCCAGCTCTTGGAACAACAGGAAGAATCTGTCTAAAATCTCCTCCAAATACAACAACTTTTCCACCAAAAATAGTATTCTCAACACCCTTTTTGCTCATTACATCTTTAAGGGTTTTATCCAATGCTTCGGAGCAGTTCTTGTGAGACATAGGTGCCTCATCCCATATTATCACATCCGTTGCTTCAAATAATTGAGAATGTTCGGTGTCTTTGTCGATGTTGCAAGTTGAGTTGTCAAGCGTTGGCACATATATTTTGAACTTTGAGTGTGCTGTTCTTCCACCCGGCAATAATAACGAAGCTATCCCACTTGAAGCAACAGTAAGAACAATTTTTTTTTGAGAACGAAGTGCACTTGATAGTGTTCTCCACATGAAAGTTTTACCAGTCCCTCCGTAACCATGCAAGAAAAATACCCCTCCACTCTGTTTGTTAACAACATCCATGATTTTCTCAAATATCAAACGTTGTTCATCTATAAAATACAAACCAAGAATTATAAGTACAAGGACAATAAAAATCATTTTTGTAATTCATAGTATAAAGAAAATAAATCACCTGTAAGGGCATGAAAAAGTTCTTGGAATTTCTGTTTCTCGGTATCGGCATCGTAATTAAGTTCGTCATAAATAAGCCTATTGCCAACATGTTTTGTGATGTATGAATCTGGATACGGTATACATTTAAATTCATGCAAACTTCTTCGATTCGATTGCATCATGTTCTCAATCTCAATTAGTGTGTGATTCTTTAACTCATTGTCCGATAGCTGCAATTCTGTTAAAATTTTTCATTAGTTTTCTATATAATTACATATGTATGATGCAACTGCTGTCGTGATGCTGAAATACATCTCCCGTCAAATTTCAATTTTAAAACTTTTATATTATATCATATTTACATATTTTTTTACAACCTATAATGTATAACAGTTTCCGGTTAAATTACAATTATTTTTAAAAAGAACATAAAAAATAAATAAAATTTATAGATAAAACTATTGTATATTATTTTCTATATTTATTTAATGAATGAAATTTATTTTAGATGAATTTATTATCTAATTTGTATTTAAAAATATAACTTAATTGTCATTTAAAACAGTACATTCAATTCTTTAACTTCAATTATCTGGTATGTCATAGATACATTTATTCTACCCGTGAATTTATTTCATGTAATCAGTTGGTTAATATTAATATAATTACAATATATAATCATTTATCAAATTTGAATTTCTCATTTATAAAAATAATTTTAAATTATTCTCGTTTATAAAAATGAACGCGTGTGTCTATTTATAAAAATATATGAAACTTATACTCTTTTATAAATATAATTGTATCAATAATTGAATTTTTACGGTTTATAAAAATATTTATAATTTATTCATGTTTATAAAAATTATTATAATTTATTTTTAGTTTGTAAAATTAATTATATTAATATGTAGACTTTTTCTCGTTTATAAGTGTCTTTAACCCGTGTGACAATTTATAAAATTTTTTTAACTTATTCATGTTAAAAACAATTACATCAATATTTGAATTTTGTTCGTTTATAAAAATATTTGTAAGTTATTTAAGTTTATAAAAATAATTGTAAAAATAAATATTTACCATATCATCTTAAATTTATTTATTCAACAGTGATAAATATGTGTCTCTTAGTTAATTACATTTATAAATAAATATCGTGTATTAGTGATATATATTAAATTTATTATCTTAATGTCTAACTAATTAAAATGAATTTATTATTGTCAATCAAAAATTATAATATTAAATAATAATATAATATTATTATTATATACGGGAAAAAGAATAAATTAAATCTAAGAATATCGGAAAATTTATTATAATATTAAATAATAATTTAACATTTATTATTACAATGAATCATATATAACATTTCAAAATTATGTATTTATTTCTTATGTTTTATTATATTCGATTTGTAATAAATATTTTTCAGTTTATTGCGAATTTTCAATAATTAAATATTAATGATATTATATAAAATTAATTTCATGAAATAAATTTATTTAATAAAGTGTTATATAAATATTTAATACATTATATTATACCATTAATTTATATAAAATGATATTAACTTATTCCTGTTTATAAAATTATTGTAACTTTTTTCCGGTTTATAAGCATGTTGAATTCGTGTGTCCATTATTAAAATATATGTAATTTACTATTATTGATATAAATAATTTTATAAATAGTTTAATTTATTACATTTATAAAATTATTTGTAATTTATTCACCTTTATAAAATTAATTATAAATTATTTAATTTATTAAAATGATTGTATCAATAATTTTTTATTTTATCATAAATTTTTATGATTATCATTTATCATTAAATTTTCATGATTACCATTTAATATTTTTTTATCATGATTACAATTATAAAGTTAATTTGAAAAGATTATGATATATTTTAGTTATTTCATAAACTTAAAAAAATTATCAAATCTCAATTGATTTTGTTTTATTTTATTAACCTTTTTATAGAAATTGAAATAATTTATTTTAGGTCAAATAAGGATCTAAATAATTACAAAATAATATTTATTCTTACATTTATAGAATGATAAATTAAATATTTAAGATAAACATTAGAGTTCTTATTTACTTTATCTTTTATACTTTTTTTGTTAATTTTATTAACAATATATTTATAGTTAACAATACATCATTTAAACTACGTTATTTTTTTCAAGAATATAAATGTAACCTTTCAAA